CGGTGAACGAGAATTGGAGCTTCCACCTTATACATAAAAGCGATGGCAAGACTAGGTGCTAAGCGTTGACCCATGGCTAACCCCCTGAGTTGTGTAAAGTATTTTCCCGACCATCGAAAGATTGAACAACTAAGACATTGTTTTAGGAGGGTCATTCGTTGTTGAATTGTGAAGCCATACATGTTTACTTTTTGTTCATTTTCAGTCAAAAGTTCGAAAATGGCTTGCATTGCAGAGTTACTTTGACACGTTTGTATAGAGTGAGCTAACATCAAATTGACTCCATTACGTGCGAGTTGTTAGGTTTTGCGCAACGTAGGTGGTCAAGGAACATTTTTGTATTGGGTAGGTGGGTTGGTATGAATTTGAGCATCTGAGTAAAAAACTCGCACGTAATGGAGTCATTTGATGTTAGCTCACTCTATACAAACGTATCAAATGACTCTGCAATGCAAGCCATTTTCGAACTTTTAACTGAAAATGAACAAAAAGTAAACATGTATGGCTTCACAATTCAACAACTAATGACCCTCCTAAAACAATGTCTTAGTTGTTCAATCTTTCGATGGTCGGGAAAATACTTTACACAACTCAGGGGGTTAGCCATGGGTCAACGCTTAGCACCTAGTCTTGCCATCGCTTTTATGTATAAGGTGGAAGCTCCAATTCTCGTTCACCGCCCATTGCTCTACTGCCGATATATAGATGACTGTTTCATTGTCTGTTCCACACAAGAGGAAATGGACAAATGTTTTGAAGTGTTGAACGGACAGTCAGAGCATATCAGATTTACGCGAGAAAGTCCAAACGGGGGCTGGCTTCCATTCCTAAATACCCAAGTAAAGCTTTTGGATAGTGGCTATAGTACAAAGTGGTATCGAAAACCAAGTAACAAGAACATTTTGGTCAATTACCTCTCCTCTCATCCTTCACACATGAAAAAATCGCTAATTAAAAACATGTTTCGAACAGCTAAAAGTGTGTGCACAGGAGAGGAGGAAAGGAACGAATCATTAGACTTGGCACGAAAGATCGCCATTTCCAACGGCTACAAAACATTTGCCACTAGGGAATATTCAAAAAGTGGAATTAGGTCACAAAAGAACAATACTCCGCACCTGAATAGAGTCCCCTTCAAATTACCATTTATATCAAACGAGATTAGTAGCGCGGTTAAAAGGTGCCTGAAAAGATGCGGTCTTGAAAATTCCGTGGTAATTATCGAAACCCCACCTCCCACCCTACGCCATCAGCTGATCCGCAATAGACTCTATGATCGATTGTGCAACACCAACAACTGTATAATCTGCCCCAACGGAAAAGAGGGAGATTGTATGAGATCGGGCACAATTTATTTGCTAACATGTAAAACATGCGGGGAAGAATACATAGGCGAAACGGGTAGACCACTTTTCATCCGCATAAAAGAACATCTAGACAGTAAATCTAAAATAGATAAACCAAACCTTTAGGTTTACATAGGGCACAAAAACACAACAACAAGGATTTTGATGTGACTGTCACAATCCTGGCGCAGGAATCAAAAACATCCACGCGCAAAACTCTTGAGGCATTTTGGATAAACGCCCAAAACCCCGAAATGAATCGGAAGGACGAGTGCGTCACCATCACGCGAGATCTCGCGCCCTTTCTTCGTTTGATCTTCTAACGTGACCTAGGCAGCATATAAATAAGACCATCTGATCATTCAAATAGACTAATACTATATACGTCCAGGCTCTGAAGAAGGCGGGTCGCCGAAACGTCAGCCGAATTTCTACAACTGTTTTATCAACCTCGCGTCAGCTAATCAAGATAAGTTTTCTCCATTTTCATATATCAATTGATTATGCCGAGGTTTATAGAAAGTCGAACTTTTGAACAACTTATTGTTATGTATTTTTTTATGCTGTTATGACCGAAAATTGCCTTATTCAAATCTCTTCTATCGTATTTAACCATTCATTGATGACTGACCCCGTTTACTGGTGATTGAAGGATAAAAGATAAAGTTCTTGACCCTGCGAGATGCGCCATGCGTTTGTCCTCAATTTTTAATTTCGTTCGAGGTAAATGAATGTATATCTAGCTATTACAGTGACTCACGCTGGCCTCCCGTATTCTAGTCAGTGTTGTTATTGTCCCAAGCAAATCTGAGACCAGTCTGGTACCAATTTACCGACCCTGAGGGATGGATGGCTTGATGCGCCCATGATCGCGACATCGAACCATTGACCATGTGTGCGATGCTGAGCCCCTCTAACCACTTCGCCACATGCGCTCCTTGATGGTGATGAATTTCTAAATTCCATTAGAAACTACCATATTGGCATTGTAAAGTGCTGCACTCGCTCGCCGCGCGATCCCACCTCCTTTTGCGTTGAAAATCGAAGTGGGAGCCAAGGGGATAAATATGATGTTGGATCATGTGAAATAAAGGGAGTCTATAATTTAACAGGCAGTATACGTAATCATTCAAATGGCGCAATAAAGTTCCATAATAGAGTGTACCTTTGTCAAAAAGTATTCATGAAAGTGAATAAGTGTCTTTCCATTATCGTAAGATGTTCGAGTATTGAGCTATGCGTAACGCTCAATTAGCTACTGTGGAGCGTGAGAATCGCGACTAACGCATTCAGTTAGCCATTTGCGCTTTCCACATATATATATATATATATATATATATACATATACTATATATACATATATATATATGCATATATATATTTACATTTATGGATGACAGGCATAAGACAGTGAGTCGGAAGAAAGAAGTGCCGTTATGTGCACAATATGTGAACCCAGATCACATAGTTAATAAGCAAATAAAAACAGATTAAGGAATGAGAAATTCTGAGAATTTTGAACACAGACGGGAGTTAATGTCTAGGAGCCGACGGTCCGAAAAGATCGTGTCCACACTTAACTGGTAATCCAGTCATAATGTTATTGGTGCGAACTTATGCCATAAGTACACCATGAGATACCACTACACACTATTGAAGCTGAAAAAGCTCAAAATTTTTACCCAGAGGCTTAGCGAGAGTGTAGGTAAAGTGCACTTGGATTGGCGCAAGAATTTGAGAAAGTAGGCTATCCAAGTGTTTACTAAAATAAGTAAATATTTTAAAAAAACGCCAAATGCTGCGAGAGGTCTGTTCAAATACTTTGTTTTCAATGTTGAAAAAGCCGATGCTTCTCTCAGTTAACTCGCGTCGGTATATTGGGACTCACTCATGTTTTCATTCCGACTTCAGTTTTCTATATTGCCTGTCGTAATAGTGAGACGGCACCAGTAACATGATTATTTTTTACGACACAATAGTTTGTTGCGAGTTATCTAGCGAGAAAGTATGAGAAAAAGGTTCAATCTATTCTATGATGAAAGTCGATTAACAATGAATAGTTCTAGTGCACTTAGCTTGCAGAGATTGGTGAGTTTGTATGGTAAGCGCATATTAATTAAATGAAGGGCACGACTTCTCTGTATAAGCGTTTCGATATCTCCAGCTGATTATCAGCTCATCCAGAAAAGGCAGAAAAACGATTTCAAAAAGTGTTCTACATGTAAATGGCAGTGGAGTTTTGAATGATAGATCGGTTCTTGTCCATTATAAGGCGACAAATGAATGTTCGACGCCATTCGCTGGGCAAGATTTTTTCTTGGGAGTGTTACTATTAACTCGAAGGCTTAAATATCTGGCCAGCGCGGTAGATAGCCAGTTCTATCAAAGACCCTTTTAACGCCGTAAAATTTAAAATAAAAGTATGCTTCACATTCGCTGCGCTATTCAACTACTACTTTTCTGGAGGTCCAAGGGGCACATGAACGTGTAAAGAAAAATTTTTAGTATCAGAGTCATTTGTTTGATCCGGAGTTCTTTCGAAGCGAAGAAAAAATTCCTAAACTGATGACAAAAATCGTACTTCTCCAAAGCGCTAATTGATCGATCGTGGCCCGTCGCCGCATCGCATCTACAGCCACCAGACACCGCGACTGTAGATTAACCTGTAACCAAGCCAGCTGAATGTACGAAACCTGATCCAGCTTTCCCTGCTACATTGCAGCCAAATAATATTCCCAGTAAATAAACGCAACGTTGGATTCCTTGAATCCTAGGCTATCGAATGGTCACTAATAGTCTAAAGAAGAGCTCTGTCTTGCGAGATAATTGGACATGTGAAACACGAAGTTCTTTCTGTAACAACGTCAAAAAAATTTTTTTTTCAAAAACTGACCATCTAGCGCGTTAGCCAGAGAGTTGAGCTTTCGAATGATTACTAACATTTTTATGAAAAGTTCATGTCCAGCGAATAGGGTCGAATACTCATTTGTCGCCTTATAATGGACAAGTGCCGATAGATGTTTGAGATAGTTGCGCAGCTATACTATTAACGTTACTAGATATGGAAAATCGGTTAGGATGGGATTTAGGAGGGGTTATGAGGAAACATTCAGATTTTTCATTTTATTTGGTTTAGCAATGCACACTATGTGGATCCCCGAATTCGATTCACTCCCCTTGTATCTATCATCACAGAAAGTCTTCAGATTTTCATTAGAAAGCCTTTTTAGGATTTTTGATCCAACTGGTGAATTTTTCGAATTTATCTCGACCTGCCTCTCCTTGAAATCCTGGAAAAGGAGCTTCCCAATGATGTCTGGCACGGATTTCTCCACCGCGGAGTTATGGGCACGGTTAGCCCAAATCAGACAACCGATGCATTCTGTGTGTTTAACGGCTACTTTACCATTTCGCTGCCGACTCTCAATTTAATTAATTCCATACCAGTATTCATATACATCGTCGAAAGACGGAAGGGATTGAGAAAGTAGTTCATATGAAGGATAAAGCGGCTGGAGTTAATCGATCCGTAGGGGATGGGCCATGCGTTCGACTTCACCAGGCATGCAAGATTTTCGATTTCATTGAAATATATCTTGAAAATTTGTTGTCCATTCTTTCTGACTATTGATGTTGAGTGATGCGCGAAAGTTTCGCGTCAGCCGGGACTACAACCCGCACCTTACCCTTCCCGAGAGCGCGTGTTCTATCCGTTACACTACTGACGCCCATTTTGCGCTACACTCTCTGCGCTACAGCGCAGCTATCTGTCAGCCGCCAGCCGTCAACGGCCTGGCTCGGGTAGCCGATCTCGACATTTAAACCAGTCACGCTAACAGCATTGGGTATCAAAAATCAAATGAAATTCTTTTTTAATTAACCGCTTCTGGCCGTAGTATGATGTTTCAGTAATGTAACGGATAGAGCACGCGCTCCCTGAAAGAGTGGGGTGCGGGTTTTAGTCCCGACTGATGAGAAAGTTTCGCGCATCGCTCTACATTAATGGGTATATTCGAAACATCATACCACCTCCTGAAGCGGTTGAATAACAAAGAATTTTATTTGATCTTTCCAACTAGTTCTTTACAACTATATACTTACTTTTCCGAGTTTGCGCATTGCTGAAAATTTCATGTGAAAAATATCTTAGATTCTGTGATTGTAGTAAAATGTAGTGTGCGTATAATACTAAATCCGGCCTGATTAATTTTGGATGATGTGCCTTCGTTTAGCTTGGGCTTCAGTGAAACGCAGTATCAATTTTTTGATAGTTGCTTCATAATAGTTCGATTATTCCACACACAAGGTGAGACTTATGAAATTGCATAGTCAAAAAAATAGTAGCGATAAGAGCTTTAAGAGAAAATGACGATAAAAGCATTTGAGATAAAGAGGTTGTGTGCTCGAATACCTATTTTTCAAACCCACTAAATTGATGAGGTCCGTGTAAAAAATGCATTGGTTGGAGATGAAAAGCAAAAAAAAAAGATGGACCGTAACTGCTTCGATTCCCGTAACCGAGATCCAACCAAGTTCGTGGCCGTTGTGACATTGATGAAATGGCATGACACTTGTGGAAGAATAAAAACAGGGTCTTGATTTTCAGTAAGCCGTTTTAAACCATTTTATAGGCCAGGCACGGATTCATTATCGTAGTGGAGTCGAATGCATAGAGTGGCAGTGAAGGGTTATCAACGTCGAAACTCCTCCACTATTTGACGTTTACACTGAACTGGTTCTTCACTACCCTATATTGCACCATAAAAAGCATTGCTTTCTGTAGTTTAACCTTGATTTCAGCCTAAACTTATTTCAATTTCATAGCCAAAATTTTCAGCCAGTCGGTGTGTTCTTCGAGAAAGGCTGTACGTATCATTTGGCAATTTGCATTCTTCTCACGATACTCGGCTATATTGCTGGAATCATTTACGCGTGTTATATTGTTCTCGCTTACTTAACAAAACTGCCTACAACGAACACTTCGATGTGCTTCTGAACTAGATCGAAGCCTATGACATTCCGTGTCTGTCAATTAGGTCATCAGATGCCTTAGTATCACTGTTTGTAATTATGCCTTTATTTCGAGTGCTTTGTTTAGACCACGCTCAAATTGCAATATATCCTTTCATTATTATTTGAGCCAACTTGTCATGTGGTCTGGTAAGGGTCTTGTACAGTATCACTGTTTGGTTTCGATTTCACATCATAATCATTAGCTACATTCGATTTTTTTTTGGCCGAAAATTTGCATTACAATGATTTTGAGCGTATCTCAATAAAGTTTTGGTTGTATTTTTTTTCCGACATGAACACAAAATTCCAGCAAAATGCATGAATGCCATAACAAGTAGAAGAAAAAAGAGAAACTTAGAGCGAGCATGACTATTGAAGGTGAATACAGTCGAATAAAGGACAATGTTTGTATCATAAATGGCAGTCATGTCCATCGACTAGTGAAAGACCCAAACGACATCTCAAGTCGTCAGCTCTTGATATACTGTCTTTCTTTCCTGTTATGCAGACTGGCTGGTGTGATGTGTTGGCTCTGACGAGGCGAGCAGAATCTTCGAAAAGTATGTAGGCCACTAACATTCCAAAACCTCGAAAGCGCCAAGATCAGTAATACTCTAAAATTCTGGTGTTTGCTTTTTTCGCAGTTTTACGATGTTTCATATACATCTAGGAGAATGGGTGATGAACGTAAATACGACCTCAGATGGGAGTCGAACCGCGTTTCATTCATACCGGGGACGCGTGCTACCACTACACCACAGAGGCACTTCTACGCCACCACTCGTCCCCGGTATGGATGAAGCGCGGGTTGGAGTCCCGTCTGAGGACGTATTTTTGCTCACTTCAATTTTCTTGAGTTTATATGAAACTCTAAGGTCAGTCTTTGAGCATATGAAAGAACATAGTGATGATGGCGTTATCATCTCTCCATTTCTAAAGGATTTTGGATTTTCATAGATCTGGAATATTAACACGAAAGAGTTAATCTTTAGTTCATGACTCATACACTTTTTTCTACTATTCTTTTTGATTGTAGCAAACTCATGAAAAATGTCATAATTTCTCTGTTCGCAACAAATATGTTTGCTTGTGGAAACGCAAAGAAACATCACTAAAAACCCTTTCGTTCAAATGACATAAACTATTCTGACTCACGACTCAGTGACATCGTTATTGAACTACCTACTTGAAATAGCGCAGAACACCGCATGAATGTGGTAATCTCACTAAAAGATAGCCCTCCACTTATGTCGGTCCTTCATCGATCGTACTTTCAAAATTATATCACAACAATAAGATGAAATGCTTTTATTCCCACTTGATCGGTATACCTAGCAATAAACAACCGAGTTCTATAGGATGATTGTCAAACCACTCATGTATGCGCGATAGAAGGTCAAAGCTACCTTATTTCTCATCAATAGTTAATCATATGTCTGATCCCGTTAAACGGCTGCTCAAAAAAGAGTGTTGAAGTTCCAGGAAAATCAACGATGTTGACTAAATAAGCTAGTATAAAGTATCAAAAAAGAACAAGTACGAAAGAAACCACATCACAGATTCTCCCGGTGTCGGGAAGTTGGTACAAAATTTGTCTGGAATCAGCTCGATCCCTTCAATCTACGAAAGCTAATTGTGATCTTCAATGAATGTCCTTCAACGCTCAGCTAACCACAGCGCTCAATCACATATTTACTCGAACAATATTCAGCAATAGTAAAAGAGAACAAAAGCCTTTAAGCAAGAGCAGAATTACATATAGGTTTGAAAACCATTGGAGATGACGAATGTGAGGAAACTAATTCAGTGTGATGCTGGAATCGGCACAATATGTAGTATCGGGCTAATTCAAAATTGCGCCATTCACGAATCAATTCAGTGAAGGGTCCGCGTCAAGTCACCATTTGAAGTAGGTAGCTGGTCATTCTAAAAGAAGGCGTAGTAGAATAAACAGCAATTGTAGGCCATCACTTACCTGATATTGCCAAGATGTTAGCTTACCCAGAAATAAGATTATTTGCTTGTGGTTTCGAAATGAAGCATATGATCTCATGTGCGTCTATCGACGCGTTCATGTTAGCGTGCTGCTAGTACATGCCAATGAAAGATCTATGGACGATTACACACATGACCACACTTCTGCAACTTCAACGGCGGAACGTGACTCCGGGGAACTGCTTTACTTAAGAACTTCACGTCCCAGTGCACCTACTAGAATAGAGTGAAATAGATGTCATAGTTCATCATGACACCTTATGGCAGCTGACAAATCCCGATTTTTGAGGTCAAAGTTATCTGTAGAGATCTCTCCAAAGTGTGTATATTATAATACATCACGTCCTTTTCCAAAGTTCTGCTGTTCTAAAACTCCACAAGGGATTTCTTTCGCTACTTTTTACCTTTCGGAAATAAGACAGGAAAATCACACAAGTCAAGAAATTATGAGTATTTTCTTCTACTTAGCCTTTCCGAGGTGTTATTGATATATTTATTGAATTTTAGCGAAGCATACAACAATACAGTTAGTAATGCAGCTTGAATATACAATATTCGAGGTGGCTAACGTTTCGGCGGGTCGCCTTTTTCAGAGCCTGGAAAGATCACATTGATCCACAATCCACTAATCCAACCTCCATAACCCTAGCAGAAAACGTTAGAAATGAGTTTTGGATCGCATAGTAAGGACTTCATTTTGAAAACGCTCACCGTTTTGATGTTTGGTCTACCAATTATCAATTGAAGACCAACCGCTCAAGGTCAGTGCATCAATGGGCTGTGCCTAACACGGGCCGGAAAGATCAGCCTGAGGTATGCTTGGAGGTCACCCGTGATCACGAGGCACTCCTCTTTTCGGTTCATTTTCGGGCCTTTGTTATGCATCCAAAAAGCTTCTAAGGTTTTACGCGCAGATGTTCCTGACTTCTGTGCGAGGATCGTGAATTTGACGCCAAACAATACTCCTGCATGTTTTTGGTCCCTATGCGTGCCTAGTGGAGTTTTTAGATCAGAGTTGCGCAACCCAACTAGGTGCTCTTTTACGTGAAGGAATAGTGGCCTACTCGTTTCGCCAATGTACTCATCGCCGCATGCCTCGCAAGAGATTAGGTAAATTATACCCGATCTCATACAGTTCGCCCTCTCTGCTGTTCGGACAAACTTTGCAGTCAGTGGTTTCGCAGAGGCGGTCATACAGTCGGTTGCGGACTAATTGACGCTTTAGTGTCTTTGGGCTTCACTGATACCGAATCATCCAAACGTGTTCTTTTCAGGCAGCGTTTGATAGCTGTGCTTATCTCGTCAAGAGAGGAAAGGCAGAAGGAAAGAATCTTATTTCGCCAACATTGTCGCTTGAGGGTATAGATTTACCCTAAGTCTGACCTGGAAAGCTCCTACCGTATCGTAGCCATTAGAGATGGCTATTTTTCGCGCCAAGCTCAAAGTATTCCACCTTGTGTTCTTTTTCTGTGCACACATTTGCCGCTGTTCGGAGCAGTTCTTCAGAAGTGCGCGTTTCTGTGTGTGAAGTATGAGCTGATAGGTGGTGAACTAAGATGTTTTCGTTGCTTGGCTTTCGGTACCAATTTGTATTGTAGGAGTTTTTGGACAGGTTGACCTGAACGTTCAAAAATAGGAGCCAATATTCTTTCGGTTTCTCACGGGTGTAACTTTTGTACTCTGACTGACTGTTTGCGATTGGTCGGCAATTTCATCAAAT